CCCTAAGTGTGGTGGTTACCAGCCCACAGACCTGCCAGCATAATTGCATGCATGGCTGCTCCCTGACCTGGCTCTGTCAAAATGAATGCAGCTGAGCTTAAACACCTCTTTTATAGTTCTTGGGGGGCTTTTGTTTCTGCTTTTAGCAAGATCACTTTGTCAGGACCAGATTAGGGAGCAATTAAATGTGCAGTTATGTTGGCAGATCTGAGGGGGCAGCTGGATCAGAAGCAACACATCTGACCATGATCTAAACAAACATCTGTCCAAAGCCTTAGTCAAACAGATGTGGAGAAAAAAATGTACCTAATAAGTCTTGAAGTGAAAATATAATTTACGAGAAACAGCATGTATCAAATTTCCTTCTAAGAGATGCAATCACTAATTTATGAGATTATAATTTTCTATAGTCACACATGAAGTACCTAGTAGATACTTCAGGAAACCAGGACATACTTTAAATGGATAAATCCATGGAGGCAATTATTTTGTGTTCTGCCAGCTCCACAAGGTTATGAACACCTTGCACAAACTAGAACCAAGTATATTCTAATCAGTTCTGCATGTTGTTACTATTTAAAATTGAAAACCTTTGGTTTCAGACTGAAATTTTACATGTTTTAAAGCAGATAACTCAGTAATTTCTACAAAAACATTGAGCATGTCTTGTCCTGAAACCCTGGCTGCTTTGTTCCAAGCCCATTTCTTGTACTAGCATGAAATTTTGCACAGACATAGTAAGGATGGATATAGGTTACTATAATAGAGGTGTGCTAGTCCTGCTTCCTGGACCACTTCAGCACAGGGCAACACAAATGCTGATGCTGGGAAAAGGAGAGTGAAGGCAGAGAGGGAAGAATGAGCAACAAGAAGTATCAGTCAGTCAAAGGTGCTTCACCGGACAACATTGCTGGTCTAAAATGTACATGAAACTGATTCTTCAATTCAGCCTCTGGAAAAAGATTATTTAAAATCCAGATGATGCACAAAACCTGAATACACTGGTCTACAGCAGAAAGAGGATTTGTACTCTCCTTTGATTCAATTACTACTGATGTGTAGACATCTTAAGATACATAATAGCATGAACTAATCAAAAAGCATTTCTCATTCCATTCTCATGCTCAATACTTCAGAGAACTCTAACTTCCTCTGATTGAAAAATCAAAGTAAATAATGTATACAGATTGTAAAGTTCTCTTTAGAAATGAAGAAGTTCATTGCAGACTTGACTCACAAAACTGTTAGACATATATATATATACATATACACTCATACACTGCACAACTGTGTTGCAGAGTTGAACACTAAAAATTGGCAATTGAGCACGACCATAAAGAACGGAGACTTTCTCAACTAGTTTGAAAATGTACCTACCTCAGTTATCCCCCAAACACTTTTTGATTTATGTTCTGCTGCTTTAAAAGAAGAAATGGTCCAATATGAAATAATGCACATACTTGTATAGTGGATATTTATACCCAAAATAAACTTTCTCTTGGGAGAATATTTTTAAAGCAGCATTTAAAGTCTCCTGGCAATGGTTAGCTAGAAAAGTTATTTATTTATTTAGAATAAAAGTTCTCAGAAATTTTTTAACCACCATTTAGGATGCTGGGAGTAAGCCTAGTAATTCAAGTTTCTCCCTTTCCCCCAAATTACTCTTCATAGCATATAACATTTAGCATTCATACATGCAGAAGAATGCATAGTATGCATTAAGGCAGAGAATTTTATGTTTCAGAAATGTATAGGCTATTTTACACAAGATGATATGTACGCACAAGGCAATTCAACTCACTACATGCTGTTGAGTCTAATAAGCTTACAAACAAAACACACTGCCTTGTCTGATTAGACTTTTTCTCTTGCACCTACATTTTTAATATTTGGCATACAAATATCAACTATTTATGGTTTGCACTTTCTCAACAATGAAGTATGAAACACTAAATACTGTTTTCCCTCAAGATACTCAGTACTTCTGTTATACAGACTGTGAAATGGAAAAACATACTTAGAGGCTGAATATGGTCTGTGACTCCTAATTTTTTCATTAAATGTAAAGACCTTTTTGCAATGACACATTTGAAGCTTCATTTTAACTAATAGACTGAAGCCCACCATTTTAGACTCAACCACAGATTTTTTTAAGGAAGTGGCAAACCATTGCTGCTAGTTGAGAAAATGAAAATTAGTCCCTGGGAGAGGATACAATCAATGGTGTGTTAATCTAACCTTCAGCTGTTAATGATTTGCACTACTATTTCCCCTGATGCTGTGGGTTCTGCTGAAAT